CTGCATTATGTCACGCCCCCCAGTAGAACAACGGTATGTCTGCGGACTTACAACGCTAAAATTCTGGTTTCGATACCTGTGGTGGGGTAAAGCAGATAGTCCATTGCGTAGCTTTGTGCTTAACTACAAAGAAACAAACATTATTTAACTTTTTGTATAGTTGATTTGTCAAAGCTAAACTAAAGAACAAACGATATCAATTGAAAAGGGATTTGTGTATCACTGATGATAAATTTTAATTTACCTTTTTTTTATATACTATATATATATATATATAGTGTTTAATTTTCTGAAACATCGAAAATTCTGAATGTTGCACTGGAGCTAGTGTCATTGTTGACAGAAAAATTGATTGTTATACTTTCATCTATGTGAATGTTGCACTGGAGCTAGTGTCATTGTTGACAGAAAAATTGATTGTTATACTTTCATCTATGTGAATGTTGCACTGGAGCTAGTGTCATTGTTGACAGATAAATTGATTGTTATACTTTCATCTACTGAAGTGTAAAATGAAACAATTCTCAGAATATCGGAGGAAATGTTATCACAAAAGTTATAAACTTAGAATAGAATTTGTTGTTTGACTTGGTCGATTTTTTCATGCATCTGGAGCTTTAAATTCACTTAAAAAATACCAGATAGATGGAGCTGTGAAACTTGATTAGCAAAAATGGCGTACAGTACCAGTGCAAAGTGACTTTTTGTTAACCCTTTATTGAACGCATAATGAAAAGAAGGGATTTTCTTTGAATTTCTTACTTAAATAGGTCTATATTGCACAAAACATGTTTTTATATAAAATATATTTTGGTAAGTTATAAATCGGTACGTTACCTAGAAATAACGTTGTTTATTTAAGGAATTAACGACAATAGTTCCATGGTTTATTTAAGCTGTTACTTAGAAATAAAACATTCAACTACAGAATTGAAGCACTTGTGTATTAAAGATTTGTTATTTGTATGTTATTATATGCAACAGAAGATTAAGAAGATTGGAACATTTTAGGGGCTCGTGCACCCAACCAGTAATGTTTGGTTAAACTTTTGTTTTCTAGAATACACATTTGAAGAGGCCATTTTTTTTATCGGCTCGGTGTTTTTACAATATATATATATCTTTGTGTGTGAATGAGGCCTCGTTTCAGTAATTTGGCTAGAATATATATATATATACGTTTTACATGGGTTCGAATATCCGTGTGGTAACGAATATCCAATTTTCACGAGAACGACGTATCACTTACTGTATTTGAGAATTTAAATGTTTTTCCTGTTACATTGCTAATCACCGATATATTTTTGTCCGTTGGAAATTCGCCTAATTGTACATTATTAAAAATTCTCCAAATTGTATTAGAATAATTAAAGACGTTTTGAAATAGGGTTAGCTTTCCTCATTCCATGTACGATGTTCAAAATATCTCACTTCTGGTATTTAGTGAATAATATTTGTTAATAAGATGCTATGCGAATTTTTTCTCTTGTTGTATTTACCCTAGAGAAACAATAAGATGTGTGTTAATGTTCTAACTTTAAAAACGGCATATTGTGGTATAAACTGTTACTGTGCGTGCTTACCCTGTAATTTTTCAAGTTTTATGATCAATGGTCGGTAATAAATTTGACGATGTCAGTATTCCTAGTGAAGTTGTTTATTTCGAGAAGAAAAGTGTTTGCTTAATCTCATTCTACTGAAAAAAGAAAAATGTGTTTGAACCAACATACAATTTATTATGAACGATTTTTGTTGTTTAGATATTAAAAGAAACATCTCGCTTACTTTAGGTATGAATAATATAGTTTATTCATCTGACAGTCGATTTTAATCAGCTGAAAGTTCACAAAGCTACAACGTTAAAATTCGGGGTTCGATTCCACACGGGGGTGTGTGACAGAGCGTAGATACCCCATTGTGTAGAGCCTTGCTCTAAATACAACAATTATTTCGCCAGTAAAGGAATATAGAATTATAAATGAACAAACTAATATTGAAATTCTTTGACCACCAAAATGTTGAACTCTAGGCCAGGTGGTTAGGGTACTCGACTCGTAATCTGAGGGTCGCGGGTTCGAATCCCCGTCCCACCAAACATGCTCGCCCTTTCAGCCGTGGTGGCGTTATAATGTCACGGTCAATCCCACTATTCGTTGGTAAAAGAGTAGCCCAAAAGTTGGCGGTGGGTGGTGATGACTAGCTGCCTTCCCTCTAGTCTTACACTGCTAAATTAGGGACGGCTAGCGCAGATAACCCTCGTGTAGCTTTGCGCGAAACTCAAAACAAACAATGTTGAACTCGAATTTAAATCACGTTACCCATCATGCACTTTTGATATACTTTAAAATACACGAATAAATCTCGGAGTGTTTGGTAATGAGCATCTATCCATCATATAGAATAGTTCAGATATTTGTTTGTTTGTTACGGACATTCGCACAGAGTTACATAATAATTAACTGTCCCTAATGTTGATTGGTTGGATTACCTATGCTGTGCTAACCACGGGTATCTAAACTCAATTTTTTTGGTATGCGTTTGATATTTGCTTCTTCTATATTTGAAAATGATTCAAGAAAACAACGAGCAGTGGAAACTATCATAAATAGGTTGAAATAATTTTTGTCAGCCGTGCTATAAGGATATATACGTTCCAAGCATAAATAATATTCAACGTTAAACTGGTACACAATTAAAAACATTTTATTTAGGCCTATCTATGGCCTTCAAAAAGTTGACGACTCTACATTATAACGTCTTCCACAACCCTGACTTAGCAATGTGACGTAAGAATAAAAAAGAATAGTCCGCTCATTTTCACAATTTTCTATATTGTTATTTTTCAAATGTCAAACAATAACTTACATATTTTCATTTTACCCACGCCGCGAAGAGGGTATGAATACAAATGAAAACCAATTTGGCTTAGATAATTTCTTCGTACTCGAAACATTTTAAACTTACACGCTGTGCTATATACCAGTTTCTATCACAATGGCGAATAAACTCAATACAACCAAGGAACTATTTTCACTGATATTTCCTGTTCTCACGCATATAATACTTGTGTGGTCCTTTATATTTTAACCGTTCTCGATGTCATCTGGACAGGTCAAGGGTTTTGAATCGCTTATCACAGTTACATGCCATCTAATAACTCTATATTTTAACCGTTCTCGATGTCATCTGGACAGGTCAAGGGTTTTGAATCGCTTATCACAGTTACATGCCATCTAATAACTTTCAATGAAGTGTTCAAACTTGCTCTAATGTTTCAATTTACTAGTACAAAGTCCTACGTTTCTTATAAATGTTGCCGGCCCGTTATTAGTTCAAGAGGAGGCCCTTTGTATTTGCACTTTTTAGAAGTTAATGTTTTTTTGACAAGATTGGACTAACTCACACATATCTACCTATATATAAAGTTGATAATTTATATTTTTGTAAAGAGACACACTAATCAAAGCGTTAGGTAATAATTCACTATCACGCGACTAATCAGGAAAAACATGTTGACAAACTTTGCAGTGACGAATTGCTTAATAATCAATCCAAGTCCACGTGCTTGTTTTATAACAACAGTGCCACCTATCGTAAAAAGCCTTTAACAAGGTGTATTATTATATTAACAGCTTAAAATTATCCTGAAGGTTTAACATAGAACTAGTATCTATAACAATTTGACTGCAGATTATTTTCAAGCTTAAGTTAAAACTGTTTAGAAAAACACGAAATAAATGTTCACACGACACTAACATTGTAACTGCACGGCTGGTTGCCAGAACTAAATAAAGCTTGAGCAAGTTTAGGTTGTGATATGCAGTCATAGATGTATACTAACAGAATGTCCAAAATAACTACGATTCTTTAGAGTGGAGTTGTTGTACAGCCCACTGTCGAAATGACTTGGTTCCTTTTACGACATTTCTTTAACCTCGAATTTGACTTCTTTGAACAGAAGGTATTTCATAGTTTACACCCGAGATAAAAAAAATCTAACGATAATACTTGAAAGGTGTTATGAATAAAGTGTATCAGTGTAGGAAGTTTTCTAGCTGCTAGCCGAGATCATCTTTAAAGTATAGTTTTATCTGTCTAAACCTCCTTTCAAGCAAGAACAAGCGATAATTATTCACATCTGAATTCTCTGAACACGAGATTTCGTAAGATAACGAATAGATAAAACAGCAAAAAAAAAACATTTAACGGTAACACGAGTGTAAATAACTTTTACATACAACAGTTTTGGAGAATGTAATTTTGTACACACGATTTGCTAAAAATAAAACAAGCTACAATTGTTTTTAATTCCCAAAAATACTCGTAAAATTTCCGTTTCTTGCCACAGGTCTATAATTTCTCTACTGTTATATGTGTGGTCATTTAGAAAAATGTTGGAAAAACACCTGATTCAAGGGAGATATTGGTACTGTCTTGTTAAGCACAAAGCTACACAATGGGCTATTTATGCTCTGACCACCACGGGTATCGAAACTCGATTTTTAGCATTGTAAACACACAGACTTACTGCTGAACCACTGTTAACCTCTAACAGTTTACCAAAATTTGCAACTCTGTATCGAAAGGTTCACTAGATGAATTTATCTCCTCAAACCATGAACATGGGTTCAAAAGGTGATGAAGATCAAAGGTAACCACGATTTCAGTGTTGTCTGTGTAAACAAGTAAATTTTATACATTTCAGCTATAACCAAAAAATAACAAGTGAAACATATTACATGTGTCTAAACATGCTGTACTCTCAACATTCCATGTGATGGCTCATTGGTATCATGTTCAGCAAAGTTAGCCCACAACACGTATTTTACATAAAAAAAAACATGAATGGTGTTCATTGTCAGTTATAAAAAGAAAACCTGTGTAAATAATATGTTCTACATCTTCACTTGTTTTTCTTTTTTCACGAATATTTTATTAACATTGCCAATTGTCTTTTCAAATGGTAAAAGGAACAAAAAAAAAAAAAAGGTCAAACATACTTTATAACAACTTTACATCTTTTATTTCACACACAAAGAAATTCAAACAAAAACATTAAATTTTAACCTACACGCACAGTATTTCCAAATAGGAAGAAGAATAAAGAGATAGAACGCTTTTCACACAACATGGATGTCTGCTAACATGAAAAATAAAATAAATGCAAAAGGCTTCACATCCAGTATAACCTTCTTTACCTCGACTAATTATTTAATTTTTTAAAATTAGCAGAATATATAAGTTAGGACTTGTACGCTTTTCTACATTAAGCAACAAACCTTAACTAAAAAAAAAAATATTTAAGCTTAGGAGAGTAAAATACAGATAATAGTTTACACTATAATGTCACTAAGATTACACATACCTTATGTCATAATAGTGTATTTTGTTTCTCACATTATTAAATATACAGTACGTTCTGTCAAAATTTAGGTACTCTTAAAAGATCACATATAAAAATTTAACTTAGTTCAATATGTGGAAACTAGGAAAATTCTATAGGTGTTTGTGATAATTTATCAAATGAATTAATGCAATTTTGAAACCAATTTTTAGCACAGAAGATAAAGTGTTTACTGATTACTTGACGAATTTAGTGTCAATTCTGATGTGTAATGAAGAAAAGAAGTGTCCATCTTCAAATACACAACTTTTGTGTTGATTTTGATGTGGTGAAGAAACAATGACATGAGCCTAAAAAATACAATGAGCATCATCATGATTCTTCATTTCCTGAATCTTCATCATCATCGTTAAACTCCTCCTCTTCTTCTTCATCCAGATCATCTCCATAATCGTCAACATAGAAATCTGTCATGTCTGCTTCGGACTCTTGGGGCCTTGGTTTCTGTCTAATACAGTATTCTTCTATAGTTGTTGGCACAACGACGTTGTCTTTTTCAGCTTCTGATCTGCTTGCTGTCACCTGTTTCCTGTAAAAATTTCAAATTCACACATATAATTATAGGTCAATTCAGACGGAGTGTTTGAAACAGTTTTATTATTATTATGATCCATCAACTTTACTTGAAAATATCTATTAATGTTGGTTAAATTAGTGCACTATAAAACAGTGGTCCGTGAGGGTCCTCCAACTGGTCCAAAATGCGTCACATCAAAAGTAACACCATTCTTCTATTTAACTTTTTCTCAGCAGTGTTATTGAAAATACACAACCCCATCTTGGGAATGATACGAGTGCAGCAATACATACTGTAACTTTGAGCTTTCTTAACATAACCTCATAAAAACTGGTAAGATTTTATTGAACATTACACGTATATTGCACACAGTGAGTGATATTTTAATTAAGTCTTTCTACTAAAAGAATGTTATTTATCTATTGTAGTTACTTGCACTGAAACACTTAATAGTTTATGTGCAAAGTGATTTTAATTTTTTAGTATAAACATACTTTTCTTCATCTTACAGTTGGAGTTTTATTTGCATAACCTCTCAAATGAATATCAAGATTTTTAAGGTAATGTATATATTTTATTTCATTTTCTCTACCATGTCACTAACTGTACATATTATCATCAACATACAATGCAATGAAATATTTAAAATTAAGAAATAGAAAAGATTTACACACCTTTAATTTTGTAGAATATCTTAAAAGATCTTTTAGTGATATCTCTAATTTCAGGTCTTTTCCTTTCCACAAATAGTTAAGTTTAGTCTTTTACTTTATTTTCCTGTCCTTTACCTTTTATTACTCATCTCAGCACAAATCAACAGTGCCCTCAGGACATAATTACAGTATCTTCAGCAGAGGTGCACAAGCCTTCAGCAAAATTATCTTACCCTCACACAAGATCGTAAGCCTTCAGAATTGACGCAAAGTATGATGTATATATAAAAAAATTGTAAACCTTTTACATATTTTAAAACATAAACTAAGATATAAAAATAAGACCTAAATGCAATTTAACTGTTTCTCTAACTATAACATATCTAGCTGAGAAAATACTGTAAGTACTAACGTGGATATTGCAGCAAACAATTCTACAGGCAATTACATCTACCAGATGTAAAATGAGCTCTTTCTAATGACTATATACATGTATATGTAGCAACCACATGTATGTTATAAAGCTCAAGCAAAAGTATAGAAGGTGGGCATGGTGCATGTCAGGGTTGACAGAATTTATTGTTTCTACTGTATTCAACTAGAGAACTTTGAAACTTAGTGTCAATAGGGAAAGTAAATGTACTTATTGTCAAGATGTACACCTACATGACTGGCATTATCTCAAAAGATTGAGAATGCAAAAGTTAAGATTTTTCATAACTCGTGGGTCACTGACACAAAATCCAAAGTTTTAAGTTTTTTTTAAAAGTTTCTTTTGAAATAAAGGAATTAAAACTTATATAACATAAAACTTTGGAACATATCATACATGATAATGTTGATTTCATTACCATACATTTATAGTAAAGGTGTTTAATTAAAACTTGAATGTAGCACAGTGACTTACACAGAAAAGTGTTTAACCCTACCAACACAGGTCAAAGGCCATGCCATCGCATTTGTTGACTCGCATTCAAAATTTTACTGAACTGCTATTTTATGAAAGTATGTCAATAAGTTTGGTATCAAATTGTAGATTATAATTCAAATTTTGGTATTATACGTTAGTTAATTTCTTACTTTAAAAGTAAATATTAAAAAAAATACTAAATATCAAATTTTGTGTGTCATGTGGTATATTGAATGCAGCATTGGTTCAAATTAGATGTTTGTGATGTCCAAATACAAAATTTATAGTTTCTTACGAATAAGATACTCAAATCACTGAAATTGACAAGCTAGAAAGTAAAATAAGAATCCCTATCTTTTCTACTTGCTGAGATATTAATATATTTATTGAATCAACCAAGGTAGCTCCACCCACCTCTTCAATTTTTGAAAATACCTGCTTACATACATCTACTTCACTCAATGAAACATGTATAACCAATCAAAAGCTCAGAATGTCCCCCTAGTAGTTTTCTCAGTTTCTGCAAAGTCTTTCTTTTCATGCTAGATTCCAAGTGATAAGGTAAGACACTAGTGAGCTTGAAATTTCATATTTTTTTTAGACCCAAATACAGCTTAGTTACTAAGCTTGATAAATTATAGTGGAGGTTTTTGGTATTGATATAGTAATTTATGATTTTTGGTTATTTCAAAATGTATATATAAAACATTTAAAAATATTACTTTGTTTCACATCCTCCATATTCATAATTTTAAAAGGTTTAGCAACCTACGTCAAGCAGCAAACAAGTATAAAGTTAGTAACTAGAAGAGATAATTGGTTGCTTTACTTCTGTATTTACTGTTCTATGTTTTAAGAAAAATAAGTTTAAGAGCTTATTTGTAAATAGTTATGAATATGCACATATAATGTATTATAGCTGAAATGTGACTGTATTTTACAAAATACTATTCCACTAAAACACAGCCAAGACAGGTCACTTTGTAAAGGCTAGTTTTATATTCTTGGATATGGTAACATGAGTGCACATTTGCCACATCATTGCAACTTCTGTAATGTTAGTTGGATACGGCTGAAAGGTCATAATAAAAATATACATATAAATGTATAATTTTATGAGATTTAAGCTATTTAAACTAAACATTTGTGTTTTCGTGTTATAATATGTAGTCATTCTAGAATGAAAAAACCATAAGTTATATCTATTTCCTAATTTTTTATGGTGGTTAGGAGGTCGGTCAAATTGACCCAACCCATACAGAGATACAGTAGTGAAAATAACAAACAAAATATAAAGTTTCTTCTTAAAAAACGTTTGATAATTTCCTGGAGGTTATAAAGATTTCACGTGTGAAATATTTCTGATGCATAAAAGTATTTTTAATCTTAAAATAAAAATTACTTTGCATGTTGGATAGTTAAAATTCGAAAACAAAAAAGGCAGGAGAAAAACATTACTTAAGAAATCTTAAAATTTAATTTTAAAAAAAGATACTTTCTGTATGAAAGCCTGGTAATGTTTACTGATAATATCCAAAATTTTGTGAAGATACACTTACTAATTTAAAAGTTACAGCATAAAAACTATAACAAGCACAAAATGATTAGGAGGTCAGTACCTGGGACCAAACCCGTGCTGAAAGATTTAAGGGGTATCCAAGGTGTAAGAGTTAATTCTAACAATTTTTTTATGCCATGGCAAGTAAAAGCAGGTGGGGAAAGACCAGTAGGTGGTCCACAGGATCTTTTGCACTTCCAAAGTAGTTCTTGGACAGAAAAGTTTGAGAACTACTGCTGTAAAGTATTGAAAGTGACAATCACTGTACTGTACAATAAGTCACTTTGCTATCATATATTTACCAATACAAATAAATATCTAAACTGTAATATACATTCAGTAACTGGACTTACCTGACAATGTTTTCATATTCTTTATCTTTTCCCCTAGACTCCCTCCAACGTCTATACATTACTGAAGCATCAACATTAGCAGGAGAAAATGTGTTGGGTTCATTAAGGAGAGATATCACACTCAACAAAATTGTCCTGGAAAGTACAAAACAATACATAACTTTATAATGTAGTGTTAAACCACACAACTGATAATAAATACACTAGTAATCTTCCGCCACAAGCATAAATTAACCAAACCCTACTAAGAAATCAGAAGTTCAACTGAATTATAATACTGAGACTAATTTTTTTTTGCTAGAAATAATTACCAAAAGGCATTTGACAATGTCTGGTCAGTAAAAACTATCAAAACAAAGCATTATAAATTCAGCTACCTTAACCTAAAAAAACGTTGATAGGTAATCCTTGTTCTTTTTTTTTTTATCTTAAACCAGCTTCTAACTGTAGATATGTCATCTAATTATAATGTTGATTAAAAACTGGAATCTATGAAAATTAACTCAACTCTGAAAAGTTAAGATGAAGGCTAAATACCAATTAAAGAATTGATTATTTAAAATACTAGGTACTGAGAACAAAAACGTAATCAAGTTTTTTACTAATTTTAAGATATGGGACTTTCTATAGGAGTAAATGAGACTTTGTAACACACACAAAAGTATTACATTCTTTAATAAATTGTTTAGGCAGAGTATTCATGATGAGTAAACTGGAATGGATAGCGACTGCCTGTTGTAGAAAAAACACAGCTGTAGAGGACGACGTTTCGAAAGTCTTCCATCTTTATCTTCAGGCTAGTGCGTGAGTAAACAGTTACAGATCTTTTATAGTAGCCTGGTGAATTGTGGAGAACGTATTGTGATTGGTTGTTTATCCCTGGCCATCTTTATCTTCAGGCTAGTGCGTGAGTAAACAGTTACAGATCTTTTATAGTATCTTGGTGGATTGTGGAGAACGTATTGTGATTGGTTGTTTATCCCTGGCCATCTTTATCTTCAGGCTAGTGCGTGAGTAAACAGTTACAGATCTTTTATAGTATCCTGGTGAATCGTGGAGAACGTATTGTGATTGGTTGTTTATCCCTGGTTCTGATTGGTGGAATGTCATTTACAGATCTTTTATAATATCTTGGTGGATTGTGGAGAACGTATTGTGATTGGTTGTTTATCCCTGGTTCTGATTGGTGGAATGAGCCATAGGTTGCTCACCTCTAATCCTGAATCTCTGTTTACTGTTTTATTATATAACAGGCAGTTGCTGCCCATTCCAGTGCACTCATCAACAGTATTGCAATTTTGTACTTTTGGTAAACACAAGTTCAATCCACAGAGAAATATTGTAGTTATTCTACGAAACTTATTAAAAACCCATCAATAGTTAACCTTTAGACTTACTACTATATTTTATCATTGTCTGAATCTAAAAAAAAAATAATATTATTGTTTAAGTCTTTCAAATATTCTAACAACATTGTCATGTTACTTCATAACACATCTGTGGTCTGATACTACTAAAGAGAAAGACAGATAGGAAAGTGAAAAGCATCCTGAAACACACTCATTCTAAGGAGCTTACAGAAAAGAAAGCTGAAAAGATGAACAAACTCAAGTTTCCTGATTACAACTTACTAAAGGCTAAGAAAAGAAAATGAAAGACCTGAATGTACAGTAAGTAAAAACCATAACAAAACTTTCATTGATACATGTTCTGAAGTCGAGTTAAAAAAAAAGCTGAAAATGTATAAAGCTTGCTGTTCATTAAGATTCCTTAAAATGATCAAATAACAAAAATGACACGAACAATGTTTTTCTACATAAATCAGTGTTTAGCTGTTGTTGTTTTCCTCTCAAAAGTAGATTTATTAAACACAGACTAAACCTAAATTACATCTGCTTTTAACATTTAAGTTTCATCATGTCTGTTATCTTGCCCCTGCTCTTTAAATGTTACGTTTATAATTAAATTGAATGTACAATTTAAATAGGATGTTATACATGTACATTTTTTTTACATTTTGTGTGACTCAAAAGTAAAATTTCTTTAAGTCACACAATTACACCTCTAGCTGGAATCATTATCAAAAACACACAATTACACCTCTAGCTGGAATCATTATTAAAAACTGATTTAAAACACACAATTACACCTGTAGCTGGAATCATTATTAAAAACTGATTTAAAACACAATTACACCTCTAGCTGGAATCATTATTAAAACTGATTTAAAACACAATTACACCTCTAGCTGGAATCATTATTAAAAACTGATTTAAAACACACAATTACACCTCTAGCTGGAATCATTATTAAAACTGATTTAAAACACACAATTACATCTCTAGCTGGACTCATTATCAAAAACTGATTTAAAACACACAATTACACCTCTAGCTGGAATCATTATTAAAACTGATTTAAAACACACAATTACATCTCTAGCCGGACTCATTATCAAAAACTGATTTAAAACACACAATTACAACCCTAGCCGGAATCATTATTAAAACTGATTTAAAACACACAATTACACCTCTAGCCAGAATCATTATTAAAACTGATTTAAAACACACAATTACACCTCTAGCTGGACTCATTATCAAAAACTGATTTAAAACACACAATTACACCTCTAGCTGGACTCATTATCAAAAACTGATTTAAA